ATTCTCTCTGGGGGCGGGCAGCGGAACACCGTCGTGTAGGAGCGTTGGCGTGGCGTGGCCGAGAATCTCATTTTACAACAGCGCTTTGTTCGAGAGGCACCGCGAGGTCTCATCTCATCATATTTATATTACCATTTTGACCCTAATCGTGTCCAAAATGTATCCAGCAAGAAGAGGTTTAAAGGCTGAGCAACGTATTCTTCTTTATAACTTTCTTTTTTTTAATAGCGTACCGCCGAGACGGGGCCGTATGCAGCCAGCTGCGCCCGTTCCTGTTGCACCCGGCCCGGAGGATCTCTTATCCGATCGGAATCCTTACCCACGCTATGCATCCCTGCCTGCTGTCCTGGGACCACAAAGCCGAGACCCCTCCTCCACCGAAAAAAAAAAAAAGAAAAAAGAAAGAACAGGCGTGCACCTCAGGATACTCTTTTTAAACAAAATAATAAGGGACTGTCTAAAATTAGCCCACAGGGCTAAGAAAGAGACAGTCCCCCTGACCGGGCCTCAAAGTCCCTCTGCATGTAGGAAGCGGGAGGGGGGGGGGTTGAGCGCGGCAGCGGTAGCGTGGCGGCGCGCGGTTTGCCAAACACCTTCCGCCGCCGGCGCCTGCCCTGTGCTACATATCGGAAGAGGGAGGGGGGAGGGAGGGCTGTGGAGGGAAAGGGGGGGGGGCTTTTCCTTCTGGTGGAGACAGTCTTTAGGGGACTGTCTAAAGAGAAAAGAACAACCTTTGGCAACTTACTAAACAACGAGACCGTTGTAGTTGCCGTGTGTCAGGGCTACGATGTATGCTGGTGTAACCGAGTCGTGACAAAACTGATATGAATTTTGCGTTATTTCGTACCTTAAAGGACGGAGAGGGGGGGGGGTGAAAAGTGGGGGAGCAGGGTGTCGTTGGTGGCGGTCGTCCGATCTCCGCGGTCGGTTCGTGCTCTTTCAAAGTCCCTGCCTCCTTTTAGCCATGGCGGCTCCGGCTACTACGATCCCCTCCCTCTACCTACAGCCCTCCGTCCCCCCTCCCAACTACCACCACCATGCACACGACACCAAACGTCACCGTCAGCATCACGATACGAGCTGACCTGACTGAGCGGGCCTCCTAGTTCTGGCGCTTCGACCATTGCTTAGTTTTACTTTTGACTGGCCGACGGCTCACGACTCAGATATTCCCTTGCACGTTCAAACGGAGCACTCAGAGCCTCAG